AACAGTGGAAAGCTAGAGTGTCAGGGAGTAGTGGAGAGGCCAAGTGGGAATAAGGGTCTCTATGAGCTCTGGCGGCACAGTGCCTAAAGCACTTGACTGCTAACCAGAAGGCTGGTGGTTCAAATCCACCAGTCACTCCTCGGAAGGAAGACTGGGCAATCTACTTCAAAAGTGATACCACCTTGAAACCCAAAAAGCGGTAGCTATGAGTCGGATCCCTCTTGATGGCACATAACAACAGTTTCCTGTTGTTGTTAGGTGTCATGGAGTCAGTTCTGGCTCATGATGACCTCATGCACAACAGAGTGAACACTGCCTGGTCGTGCACCATCCTAAAATTGTTTGAGCCCATAATTGTAGTAACTGTGTTAATCCATCTCTTTAAGAGTCATCCTCTTTTTCCCTGGCCCTCTCCCAAGAATGATGTCCTTTTCCAGGAAACAGTCCCTCCTTATAACACTTACAAAATAAATGAGACAAAGCCTTACTATCCTTGCTTCTAAGGAACATTCTGGCTGTACTTCTTCCAAGACAGATTTGTTTGTTCTTTTGGCAGTCCATTGTATATCTGATATTCTTTGCCAATTCCATAATTCAAGTGCACCAATTATTCTTTGGTCTTCTTTATTCATTGTCCAGCTTTTGCATGCATATGAGGCAACTGAAAACACCATGGCTTGAGTCAGGCGCACCTTAGTCCTGAAAATGATATCTTTGCTCTTTAATACGTTAAAGAAGTCTTTTGCAGTAGATTTGCCAAATGCAATGCATTGTTTGATACCTTAACTGTTGCTTCCATGGGTGTTAATTGTGGATCCAAGTAAAACGAAAACCTTGACAGCTTCAATATTGTCTCCATTTATCATTTATCCATTATCCATTTGCATTGCTTATTGTCCCAGTTTTAAGGATTTTTATTTTCTTCATGTTGAAGTATAATCCATACTAAAGGTTGTAGTCTTTGATCTTTACCAGTAAGTGTTTCAAGTCTTCTTCATTTTCAGTAAGCAAGATTGTGTCATCTGCATATCATAGATTTTTAAAAAATCTTCCTTCAATCTTGATGCTACATTCTTCTTCATATACTCCACCTTCTCAGATTATTTGTTCAGCATACAGATTGAATAAATATGGTGACAATCCTGACTTGCACATTTCCTGATTTTAAACCATGCAGTATTGCCTTGTTCTGTTCAAACAACTGCCTCTTGGTCTGTGTACAGGATCTTTATAAGCACAATTAAGTGGTGTGGAACTCTCCATAATGCCAACATTATCCATAATATATTATGATCTACAAAGTTGAATGGCATTACATAGTCAAAACACAGGTAAACATCTTTTGGTATTCTCTGCCTTCAGCCAAGATCCATTTGACCTCAGTAGTGATATCCCTTGCTTCATGTTGTCTTCTGAATATGACTTGAATATATTGCCATTCCCTATCAATGCACTCCTGCAACCATTTTTGAATTATCTCCAGCAAACTTTTACTTGTGTGTGATATTAATGATAATTGTTTGCTAATTTCCACATTCTGTTAGATCATCTGTCTTTGCAATGGGCATGATTATGGATCTCTTCCAGTAGCTTGGCCAGTGAGCTATCTTTCATATTTTTTGCTATAGACAAGTAAGCAACTCCATCCCTGCATCCATTTATTGAAATATCTCAATCAATGTTCCAATTGAGAAATCAGTTCCTGAAGCCTTGTTTCTCACCAATGACTTCAGTGCAACTTGGACTTCTTATTTCAATACCACTGGTTCTTGATTATATGCTACCTCCTGACAGGGCTGAATGTCAACCAATTCCATTTGGTACAGTAACTTTGTGTATTCCTTCCATCTTCTTTTAATGATTCCTGTGTTATTCAATTTTTTTGCCATAAAATCCTTCAATATTGCAACTGGAGGCTTGAATTTTTTCTTCAATTCTTTCAGCTTGAGAAATGCCACATGTATTCTTCCATTTTGGTTTTCTAACTCTATGTCTTTACACATTTCATTATAATACTTTACTTTGTCTTCTCAAGCTGTCTTCTAAAATCTTCTGTTCAGCTCTTTTATTTCATTTCTTCCTTTTATTTTAGCTACTCTTTGTTCAAAAGCAAGTTTCAGAATATCCTCTGACATTCATTATGGTCTTGTTTTACTTTCTGTCTCTGTAATGACCTTTTGCTTGCTTCATGTATGAAGTCATTAATGTCATCTCACAACGAGTCTGTTCTTCAGTCAGTAGTGTTCAAAGCTTCAAATCTATTCTTGATTTGGTTTCTAAATTCAGGTGGGCTATATACAAGATCGTACTTTGGTGTTTATGGATTTGTTTTAATTTCTTTCAGCTTCACCTAGAACTTTGATATAAGCAATTAATGGTCTGTTGCCCAGTCACCCTTGGTCTTGTTCTCACTGATGATATTGAGCATCTCCATTGTTGCTCTTCATGTATATAGTTGATTTGGTTCCTGTGTGTTCCATCCAGAGAAGTATGTGTGTATAAACAAAAAAGGTACTGCCTTTGAGTCAATTCTGAGTCATGCCATCTCTGTAGGGAAGAATAGAACTGCCCCATAGGATTTTCAAAGGTATAAATCTTGACAAAAACAAACTGCCACTTCTTTCTTCTGCAGAGCATCTGGTGGGTTCCAACTGCCAATCTTTTGTTAGTAGCCAAGTACTTTACCCACTGCACCATCAGGACACCTGGAACATGTGTATAATTACAGTTTGTGTTGTTGAAGAGAGATGTTTACAATTAATAAATTTTTGGTCTTGCAAAATTTTGTCACGTAATCTCATGTGTCATTTCTATCACGAAGGCCATATTTCCCAACTACTGGTCCTCCTTCTTTCTCTCCATTTATCGTATTTCAATCACCAATAGATATCGATGCATCTTGATCGCATGCTTGATCAATTTAAAAGAGCAAAAGTCAGTAAAAATCTTTGATTTCTTAATATTTGGCATTAGTGATTGGTGGCGTCATCATGGTCATTTTGTCTTCCATGTAAGGTCTTTTATGTAAGAAGTTTTTCTCAACTATACAGTTGTTCTGAACCATATCAGTTGTTCAAATTGAAAACTGCTGACCTCATCTTAGCATCTCATTTAATACATGAGATAATTGAACTATAGAGAGGGTAAGTGACTTGCCTGTGGTCACATTGCAAGAGAGTAACAAATCAGTCTTTGGTTCACTCTCAAATCTCCTATTCTGGATACAATCCAGAATACTTTGATTATTATACACACACACACACATAATACACACGTATATATGTATATATGTGTGTGTGTATATATATATATGTGTATAAGTATATATATATATATATATATACACACACACACACACACACACATATATAACAACAACAACAACAAAAACTCACTGCCGTGGAGTCAGATCCAACTCATAGCAACGCCTCCTTGGGTTTCCGAGGTGGTATCACTATGGAACTAGATTGCCCAACCTTCCTTCTGAAGAGTGGTTGGTAGGTATGAACCACCAGCCTTCTGGTTAGCACTAGATAGATAGAAATTCCAACGAGTAAGAAAGCATACAAAAAAATAAATTAAATTGATGAGGTTAAATTTTATAACAATAAATTTTCTCCATTTAGATAAAATTATTCTTTTTTATATTACCATTATTTTCTTAGCTATAAAAGTAATATATTTTAAAAGTTAGATGGCTCCCAAATTAGAAATAAACTCATTGGAGTGATACTTTTTCGGCAACAAAGCTTTTCAAAGGGAAAAGTACATTTTGGTTGCCATTCCAAGATATATTTTACATTATTATGTTTACAATTATGATAAAAATATTTTAATGTACCTCTTTTTTATTTTTCTTGCACATACCATTCATTCCCTTGGTATCTATGCTTTCTTTCCATGATCATGGACATTTTGAAGTAGGAAATATTTGTTTAGAAGCTTTAAAGCACATTATGACCATTTATCAATGTCAGGACAACCTCATTAGGAAAAAAAAATGCAGCAGAAGTGGCTGAAATGAATGTACTTCAAATGTTGGCAAGAAGTAATAGGTTCCTAGCAATTTTTTGCAGCAGGATCCACTCATTCCACAAATTATTTTCTTATGTAATAAACATATACTCTTTAAGATAGCAAGCATGAAGGTTACCTCATCAAAACACACACTAGCACAAACAAGCTCATTTAGACAATTGTTATGTATCAACTGCTCATGCGAAATGAACAATACATTATTATTTTAATATTTAAACAAAAATCTTTGACACTAACAAGAAACAGCGTGTACAATTAAAACCACGTATCCTCTACATTGTACTTTTTCTTCAAATGTTCTATACCTGTGGCACATCTAAAATCAGGTATTAACAATGGATTTGACATTAAAGCACAATTTTTCAAAAAAAAGTTCATTGTTCTGAACAATGTTGATAAGACCTAGATACGATTCTGACATAAAGTTAATATTCACAATAATCAGATTTTTTTACAACAGTGACTATAATTATACTGCTAACAGAGGGAATGCTAGTGTTAATTTTGTGATGGTGCATTTCCTCAATTTACCCCTGCTTTTTCTTTTAACAGGTAGTTTACAAATGATTAGATTTTTTTCTGAGAATCATCTCTCATGAAATCCATACCTTGCCATTTATTCCTGAAGAAGGTATAGGAAAGAAAACACCTGCTAGCATACTTGCTTAGCATTTTGGCTGAGAATATATTAAGTCACCCAAGTTTGATTTGCAGGATACAAACAGGAAGGCTGCAGGTGGCTGCATTTTGGTGGAGAAGTCAGATACAGGGTGAAGATTCAATTAGGCATCTCAGGCTGAGGGAAGGTGATATGAGGGTGAGAGTACAACAAGCGTGGTTCAACTTAGATAAGATTTCATCACGTTAATCATCTATAGAAAGAATATTCAGAAGTGGAGAATTTTGGAAAAATATGGTATATGGCAAGCTATACTAATTATGGACATTGGTCCATAATTAAGAGCAAGGGAAGAGAGAAAGGTCTAGAAAATCACTTTGCTGAAATAAAAAGGAAAGTATTTGTTTATTTATAACTGGCAAAATGATCTGTTTCAGTTGCGTGTTTTCTTTGTACTTTGATCTTTTTAAACTGATATTTAAGCTTCTGTTTTATAATCTCTTTCTAGTGATAGAACCAGATCTCTTGGAAACCACTTTAATCAGACTTAAGAGCTTGAAAGAAGCAGGTGCTGAACTTCTATTTGTCCCCTGAACAAGAAAAATGGGCTGTGATAGAAACTGTGGACTCATCGCTGGGGCTGTCATTGGTGCAGTCTTGGCTGTGTTTGGAGGTATTCTAATGCCAGTTGGAGACATGATTATTGAGAAGACAATTAAAAAGGTACAGGTTGTCTAAAGGATATTTCCTGTCATTCTGATTCTTTTTTTCTTCTGTCTCTATTTTACTTTGAATGATTATTTTATATTTCATGATAATTTGTAATTTTGATTCAGCTGTTGCAAGTTTACACAGTAGAGAAGTGAGCACACATAAAATATTGTATAACAAAAATACATTGATAAGCTCAATATAAATATCTAAGTTCTGAGGTGAAAAAAAACCCAACTAATTATAGGCGTGCATGCTAGTAGGAATAATATATATATATATATATATATATATATATATCTCATGTCCAAAGAGCATTTTGATATCCTTTTGAATGAGAAGTATTTTATGAGGGTATATTTATAAAATAAATACTGAAGAAAAGTAAAATCATATTACATATGTATATAAAACTTAAGCGTCACTGTCATGTTTAATATTGGTTAAACTGGTAAACATTTTGTTTGGTAAAAACTGCTTTTTATTATGTTTGTCATAATTTATGATTGTTTCATGAACATTTCCTATTTATGAAGCTTTATGTTTGTTGTTGTTGTTGTTATGTGCCGTCGAGTCCGACCCGACTCATAGCGACCCCTCCTTGGGTTTCCAAGGCAGTATCACTACGGAAGTAGATTGCCCAACTTTCCTTCCGAGGAGTGGCTGGTGGGTTTGAACCGCCAGCCTTCTGGTTAGCAGTCAAGTGCCTTAGACACTACGCTACCAGAGCTCCTAATAAATTGTATAGGACATATCTCAGTATATACTGCAAATTGACTGTAGTTTTAAATAAAATTAGATTAATACAATGTACGTGCTTTACATAACAAACTAGAACTCATACCCCATCTTAGTTCCTAAATAGTTTCACATTCACTTAGCAGAGAGTTATTGATGGGAAGAGGGAGGAATAGCATAAGGGGAAGCAGATCTCCTAAAGCCCCAAACCATGGATGTCAAATTCAAATGGCTTCAGGAGTTTTGCGAGCAAGGTATTTTTTTTTCTTTAAAAAAAAAAGGAAGCAAGGCTGCCAGGAACAAGATAAAAGGAAGAAAAGGAGTTGTGGTGAACTTGAGAGCATGTACCCTGCCCAGAGGCATGTAAGTTCATTTTTCAAAGCATAATGCTGGCCAAGTAAAACATATCTGGGTTGTAGCTTCAGCTCTCAGTCTGGTTAGGATGTCAGGCCTAAACATAGGGTTACAGCATATGCTCCATGATGGAGAACAACAAGGTTTAGGTCATAAAATGGGTTGAGCCTATCACTGTCTGTCACTGCCAGGACCCTATTTGTCTTCTCCATTCATCTGTGCTTGACATCTTGCTCTTTCTCGGAGTGTAAACATATACCATTTTATATCATTGAAACTTTGACTTAATTGACAAATTGATTTGACAAATCAATTTCAAATCCAGTTGCTCTTGACAAGAAGGTACTACTTTCTGATTTTTTTTTTTTTCTTAGGTAACAATCCTAACGGTGTTAAGGTTAAAAGGAAATCTTCTTGCTGAACTTTTATAGCTTTTGTTTTAGGGTATTTTAAAGTATTTCCTATGCATTCATACTATATTTGGTCAATGGCAATATCATAAGCTATTTCTTCTATTGCTAACAGATTGCAGATATTCAGGCCCATGTGTTTAACTGAGAAAAAATATTATAACTAAATGGTATTCCTGCCCTGGGATTCCCAATTTTCTTGATTCTATTTTTTCAATGTAGGCCAGTAGGTACAAGTAGTGGTGAGATTGGACTTATCTAACAATGTGAGAAGAAATTATGGTTGTTCCAACACGCTTCCAGCTCTATAAACTGTGTTTCCTACCTGAATGTCCTACAGAAAGCAAACATAATCAGTGTCAGTGTTTCCTACATACTGTAATGTATTTGCTAAGAAAGTCCTCTGAATAGAAGAGTTAACAATAGTTTCCTAATGTACTGCATTTCATACTATTTTTTCTGATATACAATCAACAATCAATAGCTGAGTATTGATCATCTAACTTTTCATTCCTCTTCAACAAAATGATCAATTACAGAGTCTCTGTTAGGTGGCCTGCAAGATGCTCGACTTTTTGTTTAATTTTTCTCTCTAAGTTCAAAGCAATTTTTGTATATTTTTTGTAACATGAAAATGTGATTTTGTATAGAGACTTAAATATAAAAAAATAATTTTTTATCTCAATACATGTAAAATTTAACTGTGAATTAAATATATTATAAAAACATAGGTAAAATTCTAGACATATAGACTATATGCTGTTGTTGTTGTTTTTATGTGCCATTGAGTCAGACCCAACTCATAGTGACCCCTCCTTGGGTTTCCGAAGCAGTATCACTCTGGAAATAGATTGCCCAACCTTTCTCCTGAGGAGTGGATAGAGTATATAATATGGAAAAATAAACGCTATTTAGAAAAAGAGTTCTTGCAGAGCACTCCTGAAACTTCAGGAAGAAGAAGAGACCTAAGTAGGACTTTGAAAAAGTATAGAACTTTTGAAAGACCAAAGGGTATTACATTAAAAGTGTTAAAGAGTTGATTAATAGTATGGGAAAAGTTGTGAGAATGGGATTAAATGCTGTGAAGAGAGAAAAAAGAAGGTAGAGAATCTGGCAAGACCACTGGATTAACAGGAGACATGATCAGTCTGGAAAAGTAATATGGGGTTAGATTTAGGAAGCTTTGAATCTCAGGGAGAAGAAACTTTAATTGATGATGTAGATAATAGTGGGAGCTCTGGTAGCATAGTGGCTAAGACACTTGCCTGCTAACCAGAAGGCTGGCGGTTCAAACCCACCAGCCACTCCTCGGAAGGAAGGTTGGGCAATCCTACTTCCGTAGTGATACTGCCTCGGAAACCCAAGGAGGGGTCGCTATGAGTCGGGGCCGACTCGACGGCACATAACAACAACAACAACAACAAGAGCTTCCTAATTAGCTTACTAATTAATTTAATCATCACAAACATCTGTGAGTATGAGTACTAATAATTTACTCATGTTTATAAGCACAAGACATTATATCAACTTGCCAACTCACCTAGCCAGTAGGAAAGGGAGTCCGTTTCCAAAGTTAGGCAATCTGAAGGTAGAGACTAGATGGTACACAACCCGGTGTTCTATACTTCTCCAATCGAAAGAGTTGGAAAGTGAGGAGACCAAAAACAGGGCAACTGGGAAAAGCTAGGAGGCACATGACTACATTCAAAAAGGTTTAAGACCTCCTTATAAGAAAGATCATTGGAGGCGCTCACTCAGTTATGCCAAGAGATTTGGAGGACAGCTACCTGGCCAACTGACTGGAAGAGATCCATATTTGTGCCCATTCCAAAGAAAGGTGATCCCACAGAATGTAGAAATTATAGAACAATATCACTAATATCACATGCAAGTAAGATATTACTGAAGATAATTCAGAAACGTTTGCAGCAGTATATTGACAGAGAACTTCCAGAGGTTCAAGCCGGATTCAGAAGAGGACGTGGAACAAGGGATATCATAGCTATTGTCAGATGGATCTTGGCTCAAGGCAAAGAATACCAGAAAGATGTTTACTTGTGTTTTATTGACTATGCAAAGGCATTTGATTGTGTGGATCATGACAAATTATGGATAACATTGAGAAGAATGGGAATCCCTGAGCACTTGATTGTACTCATGAGGAATCTGTACCTTGACCAGGAGGCTGTCATTCGAACAGAACAAGGGGACACTACATGGTTTAAAATCAAGAAGGGAGTGCGTCAGGGTTGTATTCTTTCTCCACACTTATTCAATCTATATGCTGAGCAAATAATCCGAGAAGCTGGACTATATGAAGAAAAACGTGGTATCAGGATTGGAGGAAGAATCATTAACAACCTGAGATATGCAGACGATACAACTTTGCTTGCTGAAAGTGAGGATGACTTAAGGCACCTACTGATGAAGGTTGAAGAATACAGTCTGCAGTATGGATTACATCTCAACATAAAGAAAACAAAAATCCTCACAACGGGACCAATGAGCAGCATCACAATAAATGGAGAGAAGATTGAAGTTGTCAAAGAATTCATGTTGCTTGGTTCTACAATTGATGCCAACGGAAGCAGCAGTCAGGACATTAGATGATGTGTAGCATTGAGAAAGTCAACTGCGAAGGAACTGTTTCAAGTGCTGAGGAGCAAGGATATCTCCTTGAGGACTAAGGTGCGCCTGACACAAGCCATGATATTTCCAATCACCTTGTATGCATGTGAGAGCTGGACAATGAATAGGGAAGACCGAAGAAGAGTTGATGCTTTTGAGTTGTGGTGCTGGCGAAGAATGCTGAAAGTACCATGGACTGCTAAAAGAACTAACAGATCTGTCCTGGAGGAAGTGCAGCCAGAATGCTCCTTGGAAGCAAGAATGGCCAGACTTCGTCTCACCTATTTTGGTCATGTTGTCAGAAGGGACCATTCCCTGGAGAAGGATGTCATGCTTGGTAGGGTGGAGGGTCGACGAAAGAGGGGGAGGCCTTCAACGAGATGGATTGATACAGTGGCTGCGATGATGGGCTCGAGTATAGCAGGGATTGTGGGGCTGGTGCGGGATTGGGCAGTGTTTCGTTCTGCTGTGCATGGGGTCGCTATGAGTCGGAAACGACTCGACGGCACTTAACAACAACAACAACAAATAAGAAAGATCTTTGTATAAACTGCACATTATATAGTAAAAGTTAATCCTGACTAATATGGTGAAGAGAGAAAACAAGAAATCAAGCTACAGAGGAAGAACTCCTGGATGATGAGATGCAATGGCAGTGTGGATAGAGGAACTAAAGAGGAAGAGAGATAGTAGTCAAAACAGCTGATTGCAAGGTGTCCACTTGTATTGTGGATAGAAATGTTTACCTTAGGAGAGTTTTAGATGGAGAAATTTTATAAGTAGTTTGATATGAACATCAGTCTGCATTTCAAAGGTCAGAACTCTAGGAGATTTGATTGTTGCTACAGAGATTGCAGATAAAACTAGATGGTAGATTTGCTT